ATGCCTGTGGTGAATAGAAATGCTTAGTGCCCTTGGTTGTAGATGTCGTAAAGTGTTGAAGCAGTTTTTTGTTTCAGTGGCAAGTGTGGTAAATGCAATGTTACATTTTTTTATGTGAAGAGAATGATCTAATTGCTATGCCTAATACATTTTGCATTGCCTGATTTATTTTTCATTTCTCAACGCCTTGATCAGGAGAACTGGGAAATAACTGAAATAACACGTTTGCAGAATGAGCTAATGCATATGTGAGCATCTGACTTGTGGAAGAACTAGAACCTTTGTCAGCCTGAGACCTCGAGTAATTAGATCTTGTGAGGTGGCCAGTTCTGTGCCACAGAGTCCATGACGAGCTGCTGCTTTCCGTTGTGTAGCCATCGATACTGGCTGTCAAGTGTCAGTCTGTACTGGTTACCAGTGTTCTCCCTGGCTTAGAGCATGCTCCTCTGAGGTGAGCATGGTTTCCAAATGTATACATTCTGTTACTGCAGTCTTAACAGACCATGCCTAATTAAGAAATGTAACTGGAGTGGTTGATGTCTACAACCAAAGCAAGAGAAGAAGAGGAATATCTGGATTCTTTTAATTTCTGTCTGTGCCTGTGGATTCCCTGGTTAAGTACAGAAAAAAGTTGAAGAACAGTTACCCATTGCTCTGCTGCAGTGCTGCCCTTAGGGTAAGCTAGCTTCTTAAAATGAACACTGTATGTAGTAGTCTTGTGGGCAGACCAGAACTAGAAATGTGGTTGCATCAGCTAGATACTGAGTAAGGGTAATGGCCTAAGGAAGATGTTACAAATTTGGACTAGGACAGTGAAGTGGTTTTGGTTTAACAGGAGCTGAAATCCCTGCAGATGTATACTGTTGATATCAGGATAAAATTTAATTGATTCACTTAGAAGAAATCTCAGACGTGGTTCAGGTTTATATGTTGAATAGTGACATTGCAAACTGAAACCTGAGCTTGAGAGGTTCCATTTTGGGCCAGGAAAGCTGCTACTCTGGTTTCAGCCTATTGAGTCACCTTCCTATGTGTTTTGCCAAAGTTTCCTTCAGCTAAATGAGAGAAGCCAGGAACTGAGATGAGAGATTGCTAGTTTAAAAATCAAGCCAAAAGGGGAAAAAAAAAAAAGGGAAAATCCTTCAGGGGAAACAGTCAGCACCTTCATAGTTGATAAGCGGTTATTAAAATGAAGAAAATAATTGTTTGCCGTGTTAGCTTTTCAAGTTGAACTGCTGTTTCCCTTGTACATAATTTCTGGGTAATTACAGGTCAGGATGAAGTAATTAGATGACAGAACTTTGAAAAACAGTAACTTGCCTTTTTATCATGAATTAAAGGAAGTAAGGAGAAGACATCACTCCTTGCAAATGAATATTTGTAATTCATTAGTGTGACAGATCATATTTCAGATGTCAAACTGGAATTCTGATTTGCTCCCTTCACGTTTCATCCTCTCTTCATTGGGCCTGAAAGCAGCTGAAACGTGAAATTTTGGTTCCTTGCATCATATCTCACATTCTGAAAGAGGACTGGCATGAATGCTGTCCTTCATCTTAATGCAGTATTTTGTGAGCCCATGTACTCAACTTCATGCTCTCAGTACACAGCACTAGCTAAGAGTATCCATTTCGTTCTGTTCAGATGTATTTGACTGAACCCCCTGTGCATTTAGTGGTCATGGTGAGGCAGTAGCAGTCTTCATTTGTCATTCTTAGCCTTGAGCCTGAAGGAGGAGAAGGGGGCATTTAATACTTGTGTAACTGTCCGGGTTTTGTAGTCATCTTGAATTTGAAATGTCATTTATGAATTACTAATTCTTTTCAGTATATTAGCAGTGTGGCTTTTACTTGCTACTACCCTAGGCAGGTTCAGCAAGCCCAGTTCTCACTTTCAGTACCTCTGCGTGGTGTTTCCTGTTAGCTAGCTCTGTGCACTGCTTACCGGGAGGAAACAGTGAGCACAGGAGAGAATGTGAAATTAAAAAGAAACTGAGGATAGGTCACAGTGATGTATGCTTGATCATATTAAATATATTATTTTGTCATCTCATAAATGGAATTATTGCCTGACATACAATGTCCCATTTGAACTTTACCTATAAAATGGATACAAGTCTTTATTTAAAATATGTAATGAGTTCTAATATATATTATTTAAGTTTTCAATTCAGTTTTAAAGTCTTAGAGAAGCTCACTTAGATTATGTTTTCTTTAAGGAGTGCACCTTCAGATTCTAAATCTTTATATATAAAACAAATCGTTCATTAAAATACATGTCATTATTGAAAAAAACCTTTTGGGCTTCCACATTGAGGAACACATAAAAAAACTGGCCCTGTGTTTGACACCAGTTAAATGAACATTTTAATTCAGTTGTCAACTGCAGAGGGAATAGTCAGGGCTAATTGGAAGTAAAGGAAGTTAAGAAACTGAACTTGAAAAGACAAAAAGGTTTTCTGGAATCAAAATTAGGCTGGAGAATATCTGCTAACTCTAAGCTTTGTTTAACTGGGCCAGAGTTTTAAAGGGCTTTACAGTTAGATGTCTGCCATATAGGTGTTGTTCAAAAGTTGTCTAGTTTGCACTGCCTTAGTATCTTGTGGCTTCTTTCAAGTGCTGAGATACTATAAAAATGTTTTGAATAAAATATGTTTGTTCATCAAGCATATTTTTGTGTATTTATTAAGCAAAACTGTAAATGCCTTTTCTTGCTCCTAGATTGTTTAAAAAAAAAAAAGACAAAATAATTCAATTTGACATTCAGGTTTTCATTTAAAATCAGGCATAAATATTTGCAAGCTTACATTTTACAGTGAATTAGTTTTGTTTAAAGTCATAGGTTTTATGCCATTTAATAAAAATGACTACTCAGTCTTTGCTGTTGCAAAAATGTGCTTAATTTGAAGCATTACTAGTCTGGTCATTCATGTGAGAAGTCATCAAAGAGTTCGATGCTATGTTGAATTTGTGTTTCTTGACTATTAATCTCCATTTCACAAATGGTAGAAATTGGGAAGCATGAGATGAGTCATTCTCCCAGTCATCTTGCCTACCAGCAGCATGGTGCAGATTAGAGCTTGCAGTCCAGTTCTCTGTGCTGAGCAACGGTGCCTTAAACCTCATCAGCCAGACTATAAACAGAGGAATGCCATTTCCCAGATGTGTGTACAGGCTCAACAAGTGTTCAGTCAGGACTTTTTCAGGCTTTTTACTCCTGGTGGCTGTTTGCAATGTGGACAGTGTATTGTCATGCTTAACTAGTCCCCTCTGTTCCCCTTTGCTGAGGTTTATACCTTTACCTGAAGTTACAGTAATGCAAACCACTGCAAAGTGGCTTTGTCAGGACGAGGATCTCCCAATGTATCCATCAGTCGCCTTTCTTGAGACGTTGGCTTTTCAGAGTAAGATTTGGAGATGGCAAGTTAAAAAGTATTGCCAAATTAGAAGAAAATTAAATTACTGTGATATCACTCAGACTTCTGTGTCCACAATTCAATATAATTTGGAATAGAATCGTGTCCTTAGTGTGTAGAGCTTAATTTTCTATCCCAGTTGTTACTGTTTTCCCAAAGTCAGTACCTGATTTTTCTTCCCCTCCCTGTTCCTGCCTCTTTCCCCCTACCCCCCTTGTTGCTTTTGCTCCTTCTATTCTGGCCGCTTTTTTAACATTTTCTCTGAATTCTTACCTGTTTGATTTGCAGGGGTTGTTAGGGCTGGAGGAAACCTGGCTGATGATTGTTGTTTTAACTCTTATCCATTACCAGAGTTTTGTTTACCTTTTTTTTTCTTAATGATTTTGGTGGTTAATGTGGTTTGAGAATGTGCAAAAAGATAATAGAAAGGAGAGCTGTAGAGAAGATTTCTATCAATTTTTTACACCTGAAATTTGGCTGATGATCTTGCAGCTCATACAGAATTTGGAGAGTATGCCCAAGACAAGCAGTTGTAGTGAAGGATGTATGTGGTCTGGTACATTCTTCAGTTAATGTAAATGCAGCGTGAATGTTTGTAGTCACATTTCTCAGAGTGTAGGCATGCTTTAAGACAGATGTTATCTTATGAGCTAATTTGGTTCCCATTCAAAATGATGCTGAATCGCTTTAGTTAGAACAGCACTTGATTTTGAGGAAAAGTATTGTTTTACCACCATAATACTGTTGAGTAAAAATGCTGCAGGGCCATTCTCTGATGCAGCACCTGTGCTTGGGACAAATTCTGCATGGGATTCTGTTTAATTTTGGAAGCCTGACTGCATCTTGGTTTAACCTGATTTATGTATTTCTGTACACACTGGAGTATAGGATCTGTCTTGTCGTACAAAAAGTATGACTCCTCCAGCCACCCTTGAGTGCTTTTTTTTCCCCCCTTTCTTGTAGTTTCCCTCTCGTCATTTCCCTACTGTGCTGCTTTATTAAGTCGTCTGCATTTGATGCTTTTTTAAACCAAGTTATTGATCCCCCTTTAGGGAGCTGAAAATCATACAAGTACTGTAGGCATGGGACTGAAAAGCTATGAACTGCAAAGCCTTCATCAATGGGCAGAATCCAAACAAGAGGCCCCTTTGCTGAAAATGTGGTATTCCTGTTGAGTGGAAACAGTTTCCTCTCTTTTTATGAGTTGGATGAATGAATGCTGAATAGAAGTAGGAAGGTAGTGAGGAGTCCTTTGCAACTCTGACATAATCACGTGGATTTGTACGTATCTGAGTTCTGGAAAGCTGTCTTTGCCAAAAGTCTAGAAGAAGTCTTAGTGGAAGCCGATCCTATAGGGAAATCTTTTTTGAAAGTAAGAATTCTCATAAGAGGGAGGCTTTGGAGGTCTCTTTCTGGGAAGGTCTCCTGTAAAAAAATAAAATTATTTTTTTTCTTTAATATTTTACCCAGCCAGAGGATGTGCAGTGAGGGCACTGATGTACCCAAGAGCTTTTTGGTATGTGGAATTGCACACAGGATTGGTAGTTTTATTGCAAGGATTACTTGCAGATTAAGTGTATGAAGGGAAGACGATGAGTACCAGTAGAAGTTCTGTTGCCTAATTTTTATCCATGTTTATTGTATAGTTGATAGTTCCTAAATTTTAATCTTATGCTGTGTATTTTTTTTAGGAATACTCTGGCACCAATACCTGATCTTAACTAACAACATCTTTGCTAGTGTTTTCCTGGTGAAAACACTCTGGAGTTACCTTTCTTCTAGTTGATTTTGATGTGTGTGTGTCTTAGGTAAAATACGGTGGGTTTTGCAGGACATGTTTTAAGAGTCTAGCTTTTGTCATTTGTTAATTAGCTGCAGTGTTTGGTGTTTGAGTGGAAATAAAGGTAAGTGAAATGCTGAAATGTAATTATTTTAGGCTTATTTTTGAAATTGTTTTTCTTTTAGAACAAATTCTGTACAACATAAAACAGGAGTACAAACGCATGCAGAAGAGGAGACACTTAGAAAATAGCTTCCAGCAGACAGATCCTTGTTGTTCTACTGATGCACAGCCACATGCATTTCTCCTTACTGGACCAGCTTTGCCAGGTACTCAGAAAATTCTGTTTAACTCTGCCATGTGTTCTTAGTCTCTGTTTGCATAAATAATTTTCCTTAGTAGTTATCTGATGGTTTATGACACCTTCTCAACAGTTAGTGTTGCTTTTTTTGGCAATACTAGCATTGATCTGGAAGATTGTAGCTTCTCATTTTAAGAATTGGTAGGACACAAAGCTTTCATTATTTTCATGAGATCATCTGGTGTGCCCTGCCACTGATACTGTAATAGGCCTTTGCAAAGCAGCTGTCTTTGCAAAAATATATTGTACTGAAACTTTTATGTAAAATATAATAAAATTTGTAAATCACAACTGACATGTAAATGGCATTCACAGTGTGTGTGTAACACTCTTGGTGTTTTGATACCTGTGCATATGGTCCGATGTAGATGTCTTCCTTTTGAGTGTCTGATTTTACTTTAATAGTAATTAGAAGTGTTCAAATGGCAGAGAGAGGCTTCTCCAAATGTTCTGTAAAGTTCCTTTAATGTAAACGCTGTGAAGAAAATTGATTTTCAAAATGGTTCTGAACTGCTTGTAAGTGTAAACTGGTAATGCCCGAATATTTCATCTTAGGTACTTCATCTGCAGCATCATCACCATTGAAAAAAGAGCAGCCTCTGTTTACTCTCAGACAAGTTGGAATGATCTGTGAACGTTTGCTGAAAGAACGTGAAGAGAAAATCCGTGAAGAGTATGAAGAAATTTTGACCACAAAACTTGCAGGTATATGATAGTTTAAAATAATGTGTTAGGGTGAGTTTGAGAGCTTAAAACTTTGTGTTATGCTGTATTTTTTTCTGACCTAATCCGATTAAGGAATGAGATTACATACAGGACAGAAAAAATGATGTGTAGTCTCTTTGATAGGTTTTTTTCTTCTCTGCTGCCTTGGATAGAAACTATGACTCTTGGGTATCACTAATCAATGGAAACAGTGGTTTTATTTCAGATAGAGCTTTCTCTTGCTATCATGCCTGAATTGATAATTTCCTCTTTTTTTTTTTTTCTTTTTGCCAGAAAGACTTTCTATTCTACTGGCTTAAGAGCTCTTTGTGAAGGATTTCTTTTTTTCCTGCTTGGGAACTGACTTCCTTTTTGTGGAATTTGGCTAGATGACAGTACTTAAGATTTCCTTTTCTCTTCCCAGCACTGCTGCCAGTGGTGTTTGGTATCTGCCTGAGCATCAGTAGTTCAGCTGCATTTCTGATGCTCTGTGCTGGATTGTTGTATTCCACACCATTCAGCTGATATTTTTTGGCATCTGATGCCAACTTAACTTTCCGTAAGGATCATGTTAATGTTGGCATTGTAAATATGACCTTTCTTTAGTTGTTCAATCCTCTACTTCTAGGCATCTTGCTAGCATTTGAGCACCTAAATTCTGGTGCATTCAGAGGTAGGTGCCTTCACAGTATGACTCGGGAGTCTAATTTAGTATTTAGTGTGATGACAAGGGATGTCCGAGTGTACTCTGCAGCAGACCTGCTTTTGCAGTATCCACGGCTATTCCGCTTCCCACCTGAAAACACATCAGAATTCAAGTTTGCCGATCTCTTCAGGTGTGGGAACTCTACAGGCATACCCATGCAGAAAGTTGCCAGACTTGTGTCAGGCTCGTGGGTTGCTTGTAACAGTATTGTCTCTGCACCTGAGCCTCTGTTCACGTTCTGTGCTTGCTGATCTGCCATTGCTGTGTAAGAAATTGCTATAGTTAAGTCTCTCCTAAATCTACATCTATTTACAGCTAAAATTAGAGCCCTAAATACTTCTGTTCCTTTGGGCCTAATGTTCCATTTCTATATTTTCAGTTTTAACCTGCTTCAGATTGATGAATTGGGACTCTGTTTCTTTCTTCTAATTTATGCATGTTCAGAATTGAGTAATTTCTTGCATTCTCTTAAATGCATTTCGGTTAGCAGTGATCATAAGAACCATTTGAAGAATAGATAGGTTTACATTTGTTCCAGATACTTTCTGAGTACAAACTTGTAGTTCTTTACAAGCAAGAACCATTCTAGCAAGTTCCTTACATGTGTTCCATCTGTCAGTCCCAAAGGGAAAATTTTTTTTTGGGGGGGTTGTGTTTTACAGTGAGATGAGTTAGGTTTACTTGTTCTTAAGATGGTGGTCACCAAAAGAGCTATTAGAAAGATCGTGTCACTGTATCCCATATATCAAGCCAACAACACATTTTCAGCATTCTATGAGAATTTAGAGACTGCCAAAAGAATTTAGAAGTTCCTTACATAGAAGGCCAGTTATGTTTTTCTGCTGACAGAAAGATTATATCCTTTTCTAAACTTTGTACGGTAAGGTGATACTTGTTCTTACACTTCCACTGATTTCACGAGTTTGTAACTGGAAATTCTGTAATAAATCCAATTGAATAGCTTCTTTCAAGTGACTGAACGGAATGTTTGGGTCTCAGATATTTTCCTCATTCTTTTCTGAATCACAGTTTTCTTGTAGGTAGTTAGATACTGCCTTTTTTTTTTTTTTATCCTGTGTTCTTTGTGAGCAGAGTTGCCTTTCATGCGGAGTGAGTGTTTGATAAATGGACAACTCAGATCTCTGATGCCCTGATTTCCCCTCCTGCCTCTGTTACCTGAAGCCGCTGTGTTAGCATGAACTTGGCTTTGCAAGATCCTTTGCAGATGTTAAAACCAGAGTGTGAGGGGCGAGGTGAATAGCTTTAAAGGTTTTCTAGAATCTGTGAAAAACAGCTTTTTATAGTAAAGGTCAAGTTGTAGAGTGTAAATGATGTTTGTATTTGTGTCGTTTAGCTACCTTTTGACTTCAATAGTTAGAACATATATCACAGGGATGCCAGTAGTATAAATATCTTTACAAGCCTTCACAAATTTTCAAACAGTTCATTCTAGGTTGCTTTTACCTTTGGATTGCTTAACTTGCCGAATCTGAATGCCACAAGAAAGAGGATTTTTAGTAACCATGGATTCTTTAAATTTCCAAAGCCATAGTTTTAACAAAAATTATGGTACGAATCAGCTGTGTCTGTTGACTTAAACCTTTAAAGAAGAACGCGTGCAAGTTGGTTGCTGGCCTTTAATACATACTTTTAGGAAAAGTTCTAGTTGCTGTTATTTTTGGAAATGGTTTCTGGGCAACAGATCCTTCAATCTTTGTGTTACTTTGTTGTTTGGCTAAGATCCTTGCTGAAAAGCCATCAGTCAGAACTGTATTGAAACAGAGGGTCCTGCGTGTGGACAGAGGGGAACTAGCTGCTGTGACCCTGGGCCCATCAGTCGGGTCAGGTCCATAGTTTGGGCGGCTGCTGCACTACTTGCTGATTACTGATACCCTGTTTACTTCGAAGGTGAAGCTCATCCCTGCAAGAGGATGGGGACTTTAATGGGGCAAACCTGTGGGACTAGGAACCACTACAAATCTAACTGCATTTTTGGTTGAAGATTGCCTTCTTTGACCTTGCCCTTTTCTCAGAACACCCCACATTGCTGCACATGTATTTTTCCACAAGGGAGGAAGGGGAATGGAGAGGAGCGGCATCTGGTAGATATTACTCTCCTTGTTCAATTTCCTAATTCTGAAAGGTGATATCCTGCTGATGAGTGCAATATTAAAACTGAATAAAACTTGCAAATGCATTTGTGTGTATGTGTGAATAGAGAGAATAATCTTTCTGGGAAATAACAATGCTTAGTTCAAAGCCAAATTAATACATTTGATATCTAAATTTAATTTCAGATTACACAGTAGCTGTTTTCATGAAGTCCACAGTCAGCTATATGTCTCCTATTGTGGCTACTTTTGTGATTGGAATTAGTTAAGTGTTAGTCACTTAGCATTTCATCCTTTTAGTTTGTCGTTTGCTTTTGATTTTCTGGTGGTCACCAAAAAGAACTGCTAACTCCCTAGCAAGTCCCTTTCCTGTACTTCTGTGTTTCCTTTTCATTAAATTGATTTTCTTACATCTGGTAGCAATAGGAGCAGAGAGGTTACGTTTCCAACCCTAGCACTGACCTTAATGCCATGTGCTTAACTACTCTGCCCCCATTACAGATCTGTGAAAAGGGCACACTTGACTACTTCAAAATATGGTGTCTGACGCTGAGCAGGTGTTGGGTATATTGAGGTCTTCGTGTATGTACAGCATAATTATCTTTGAGCATATTACTGTCTTTCCCATTGTGGAAGTTTGTAAGGGAAAGCTGTTTAATTCAGGGGATATATGCTGCAGTGTTGTTGCTGGGGATGAAAAGGAAATGGCAGCTATGAACAGTGTCACTTAAAAATACTGATAGTGGATGTGTGTTTAATTTATATGATTTGTACGTATAAAAAAGTAGCCTTGAATATTTTTCATCTGGAGTTAAATGTAATAGACTGACACTTCTAATGCTTCATGCTTGCAGAACAATATGATGCATTTGTGAAGTTCACGCATGATCAAATCATGCGACGATATGGAGAACAGCCTGCCAGTTGTAAGTATCTGTTTCTTCTGATGCCTATAGCAGCATTAAATTACTGAATGTTTAATAATTTAAGTGGCCATTGATTGTTGTTAAGCTTCAGCTAAGCCCGAAGTGAATGTACTTCAAACTGGTAATTTGGAAGACTTGAGGCTGAAAGCAAGATACAAGATAAAACATATTGTTTGTTTAAAACATCTCAAACTGTCTCCTGTAACATGCTGGGTTTTTATTTTTGAAATAGGTTTTGATATTGCCATAACAGCTTTGTGATAGAGCTGGTATTTGTTAACTCCATCATTAACTCTTGGTTTTTTTTTTCTCTTTACAGATGTTTCATGAATCACACTTTCTGCATATGTGGGCTGCCCTATACACCCTGTTTTATTGTTGCAAGCTGTCCCAGTAAAGACTTGCAGCAATGCCATATTTTTTCCCCCTGTGAACACAGGTTATTTCAAGCTTTTGTCAGTGGCAACCACTCTTATGCAGCAACTGGTTTTGGAGTGCTCCCTGATGTCAGTACCACCTGGATGTGGACCTTTGCTACCTGTAATAATACCAGTGGCCTCATTTGCTGTATCATTACAATTTGGCTTCTTATGTTAATAAGTTTGAAAAAGTAAAGGGTTAAAGCTGATGTTCTAGAAGTTGCCCTTCACTGGTTGTGTAAATAAAAATGTAGAATGACACTTCTGACTGAAGTTAGTGTGGTTTTCATAACTGTGCACTACAACAAAGCTGTAATCACAGTTAAGTTAGAATGTAATCCCAGGACAATTTTAAGCAAATAGCCCACAGTACTGCCTGTGAAATAGTGAAGGAGGGCATTTCTGTATTCCATGACTTTTTTGGGGGTTAAGAATGGGTTTATATGATTTCTCATTTTTGTAGTTTTTATTTATTCTATCAGTCTTTAACAAATGTTTATTGCTGCAATTTTTCAGTGTATCATTGTTTTACTGCCCTTGTAGTACTGGAATTTAGTTGGAAGAATAAAACATTTACTTCTAATCTGTTTGGTTTTAATATACAGGTGGAACTTTTTGCTGTGTATGAATAAACCTAAATCTGAGTGTTTAAATGAAAACTTTATTTACTAGCAATAGTGGGTGGCTCAAAATTTTAGACCAGGAGGAGGTGGATGAGAATCTTGGGTAATTCTTCCGAGGTGAAGAGATCTTCTTAGATTGGCTGTATTGTTTCCTGTTGTGGAAGCATGTATGTTACAGAACTGACAAGAAACTGTTGGTTTAACCTGCTGCAGCTGACTCAAACAGCTGTGCTCATCTTCCTTCAGATTTAAATGACACATCAAAGGAAATGTGTTCATAAGATGGAGCAGATGCTTGCACCACAAGCTGGAATTACATAGTTACTGGAAGAGCCAAAGGTGTGTAATCTTTGTGCTCAGGGTTGAGGAGTTTGTTGTTGGATGCATGCCGGTGTTTCCAGACTGCTGTACTGGTGCTGGCTGCTGCTGTCTGTGCAATTCTGAGTCTGTGTGAATTACTGAAGATTTACTACATGGCAAGTGGAGATCTGTGTGCTGTGGGTAGACGTACTGCTTACCAAGTGACTTGGGTTATCTCCTTTGGGGACTTTAAAGCAGTTTCAAAGTAATCCTTTGATTGTGAATCGTTGTCTTCTCTAATTTACTGTCAGCTTCTGGTTAAGTGGAAGCCTGTTGTCTAACAGATCTTTGTACTGGTTTAATTAATGGAAGAGTTTTAGTTGAAATATAATTGAAACTTCAGGTGGTAGAGACACGCATTTTTTGGCTCATGCTGCTGCTTATTTCAGAAAAGCCATGTGATGAGCTCTGGTTCTTGGTGAACTTTCTTTCACTTAGTAGTGAGATTACAGGTCCAGAATTAGGCACAGTGTCAGAGTATTTTCTGTTCGCTCTCCTGAAACCTAAATATTTTAGATTCTTTTGACTATTCAGAATCTCAGAAATGGGAAATCTCTGCTGGGCTCCTCTTTCAGGTCCTCTGTTACTGAAGCTAAAGGTAAAACTATGACGGGCTGTAATTTCCGTTGTCAGCCTCA